GGGGCGGAGGGGAGAGGGGAGGGGAGGGGGGCGCCATGGGGGAAATCGGGAGGACCCCTGCTGGAGTAGGGTGTGTAGGCCTGGAGGACGTGTGCAACTGTGTGTGAGTGTGTGTGTATGTGTATGTGTACGTGCATGTGTGGTGACGTGTGTGATGAGGGTTGGCGACAGTTGGGACGGGCTAACTGGCGCATTACGTTATGTATTGAGCGAGGGCACAACCGAGATTGCGGCGTGCATTTGGGGTGAGTATGTGTGTGTATGTGTGTATGTGTGTATGTGTGTATGTGTATGTATGTGTGTGCAATTTTGGCGTTTCAGGTTTCCCACCCACCCAGCTCGGGCTAGGTGCATGTCTCCCCGTCCGCTCTCGGCTGCCGCCCATCCCTAGCCATTTTTGCCCTCCTCCCCCTCCTCCCCCTCCTCCCCCTCCTCCCCCTCCTCCCCCTCCTCCCCCTCCTCCCCCGTAGCCTCCTTTCCCCTCCAAGGCTGAAATTCTCCCTCCCCTCTTTTCCCCCTCTTCCCCCAAACCTGAAACCCTAAGGCCCTCAACAAGCACCTGCAGATGCTGACAGCGCTGGGCCGCCATCAAGAGGCTCAGCGGTACGGCTATATATTGCAGGTTGGTTATTTGGGAAAGCCGTACAATAAGGTGCCGTACATGGCCGTAATACAGCCGTCCGTATTCCCTATCCGAATGGGCCTGTCTACCTCGCCTTCAAGTGGAGACGCCCCATGCAGTCCTTGTGTGTGTTTGCATAAATTTCATACTCGCACTTACGTACGTACATACATACATACATGGGTACATACATATGCTGCCAGGACATATACCAGCAGGCTGTGCTGCTGATGCTGCTGCTGCTTTTGCTGCTACAGTCCCACGTGTCCCCTTTCATGTCTACAAACACACACGGGGCATGAATGTGGAGTTTCCCGTCAGACGTGTTTACATGCACATTCAGACTATAAGGATTGTAGACCATGTCGTACACATACGTCCACACGTGCGGATGTCTGTCTGTATATATGTATGGTGTTTGTATGTGAATTCGTACGTATGATGTATGCACGCGCGTGTGTTTTGCAGACGGTCAACAACACGTTTCAAAGGGCGCAGGCGGCCTCGACAGCCGCACAGGAGGCCAGGAGGACAGCCGCCCGCGGGCGGTCGTCTTCCGAGGGAACGGCGCCTCCGTCTAGCACTGCGGCTACTGCCCCTGCTGATGCGGGGAGTAGGGGCTCAGCGGAGCCGCTACCGGTGTGGCATTGGTCACACCGCCCTCGAGAAGCCTCACTTCGACAGGTCAGCTCAAGAACAAACAGATTTTTACACCTTTGTGGAGCCAAGTGCCACGGCCACGGCCAATTGCGCCGCACATGCTGCTTACGACGACACATACCCCCATGCACATGCACATGCACATGCACATGCACATAGGAAACGCATCTTTATGGGCATGCAACGTTAATGGATTGGCTTATTGGTTTATTGTACTCTGATGCTGTACCGATATATATATATATATATATATAAACTTTATAAAATATATATATATATATATATATATATATATATATATATATATATATATATAAAAACTAGACAATACATATATATAAACAATATAGAGACAATATATATATATATATTCCACACGCTGGTGTTGCCGTACAGGTGATAAACAAGGCGGCGTCAGCAGAGCGCCACGGCCACTACGATACGGCCATGTCCCTGTACAGGTACGGCATAATGTACAACGCTGTACGGCAGTGGCCTTAAAACCGTGAAGCCTGAATTTTAAGGAGTAACAAACGTTAAACAACATATGAAACAGTTTCTGATTAATCGGAAATGGAATCGGAATCGGAACACTCCGCTGCTGCTCCAGGGACGCCGTCGTGAAGGCGAAGCAGCAAGCTCCCAAAGCTGCCGGCGGCGGCGGCGGCGGCGGCGGCGGAGTCTCCTCCCTGGACTTGGCGGGTTGTCTATTGCACCTGGGGACCTTCTTGTCATCTAGGGGCTTCCTCGAACAGGTACGGAAAGGTACGGAAAGGTACGAATAGGCCGTGACGTGTCTATCGGCCAGATGTTGGGGGCCCCCCTCATCTCCCCCACCATCTCCAATCCTGTTACTGCCACTGCTGCCACTGCTAGTATTGCTGCTGCTGCTGCTGCTGCTACAGGCTGTCACTGAGGCTGCCGAGCCGGCAGCCAAGATTTTTGAGGAGCTTTGTTGCGGTGGTGGCGGTGGTGGTGATGGTGGTGGCAATAGTGGTGGTGAAGGAAGGCTGTTGTTCGCCTCCGCGGCGCATCAGGTCGCGATGCTGGCGAAGAACCACTGGCAAAGGTGAGGTGAGGGGAAGGATGTATGTGTGTGGAGGGGAGGGGGGAAAGGGGGGGACATTCGCATGTTCGGGGGGGGGCCGGGGAGGTCGGGATGGGGGTGCCACACAGAGCTGGGGAAGCAAGAATGTGTGCTTTTATGCTTTTGTGAGTTTTTGCTTTTGTAATTTTGTATTTACTTTGCTTTTGTGATTTTGTATTTTTTTGCTTTTATGCGTTTTTGCTTTTATGGTTGAGGAAAGCAGGTAATCCTGAGACTTGTGTCTTACATCGCCAATTCCCAATCATCGGTCAACATGGCCCTTGTGCCGGTTCTCACCTCGCAACCTTCCCAATCCCCCCAAATCCCAACCGACTATCTGCCTGCCAACGGAAACCGACTCAACAGCAACGACTTACGGTCTCGGCTGCTGGACGAGGCGTACGGCATTCGTGAAAGTCAGTTGGGCCCTACACATGAAGCCACCCTGGACACATTGAGGGAGAAGGCCGAGGTGGGCCGGCGGGGGAGGTGCGAGTGGGGAGGAGGGTTTGTGTGTCTATGGGGGTAGGGGTTGGGGGTGGGTGGGAAGAAGAAGCCGTTTGAACGATGAGTCGCAACGTCACGCACTAATCCTTACTCTCTGAGTGGGACCTGCTGTAGTTGTTACAGAGGAGAGGAGCCGGATCGGCTCGTGTGCAACGCCAAGTAGACGTTGCTTGCTTGTTTTGTGTGACTGAACTGCTGAAGCACTTTCCTTTGCGTTGTGTGTCGTACACTGGTTTCCGAGCGCCCGCAATAAATTCTTGGGGCCCCTCTGCACACACGCTTCCCTGTCGGCTGCTGATCAAAATCTCGATCGTGTCCAAACCTGTCGTACGGGCAGATGATCTTCATGAGCGGTGACAGGCCAGGAGGGTGCCAACTCCTTCACAAACTTGCCGTACGGCTGTCGGACGGAACCGACCTGGCGGCGAGGCCGCCTTCCAATGCCGCCGCTGCCGCTGCGGCCGCCGCCGCCGCTTCCTTTCAGGAATTAAGCACCAAGGCTTGCGAGGTATGTACGGTAACGTGTACGGCATCTTGTACGATGCCGTATACGTCGGAGCGCGTACTGCAGCTAGTACCACGCAGCGCATCTCTTTAGCCTCTCAGTCTCCTTCCTCCCACTGCACACGACACGCAGTTTTACCTTCGGCCTCTTCGGCTGTCTCATCCTTCGTGTCACTCCTCGAACCCACCCCACCCTTCACCCCACCCCACCCCACCCTTCACCCCACCCCACCCCACCCCACCCTTCACCCCACCCCACCCCACCCTTCACCCCACCCCACCCCACCCTTCACCCCACCCTTCACCCCACCCTTCACCCCACCCTTCACCCCACCCTTCACCCCACCCTTCA